TGAACCGGTATTTGTGGTCAGGTGTCCCAAATTGGTTTGCGTGGTTCCCAACCGTCATATGCCCTCCGCTATCACCTATAAACACATGTCTTTCCTCAAGACTGTCATTATAATTCTCAATTTCATACTATGGGTAAGTTTTAGGCCACAACTCCTTATTCACCAAATAATTGATAATTACATACCATAATAGCTGTTCGGGTGGACTATTCTGGGAATCGGCATTTGGCTGCGAGTGGACCCGAAATCCTACGAACCAAGTCGCTTCATCGACACCGACAATATGATTCACGCCAGTCTTATTATGATTATCACTGGTTTTGTAATTATTTTGATTGGATTCGTTGGACTCATTGGAGTGATCACTGAAAACTCTTGCCTTTTAGCGACAGTAATACTACTTATTTTGATTAATTATATTTTGATTACTAATCACATTGTGTTTGGACCAGTTCTTCACAGTCCTCACGTGTCTATTCGTTATGCAAATCGCAGCCATTGTTTTGGGAATATTTCACGGATTTGGAGAAAGAGTATAATTAATTCACTAATTATTAGACATTAAATAAAACAATGAATTTTTGCTTTAGTTGGAGATATTTGCTAACGAAGAGATACTACAGAACCTACAACAGGCCCAATACAACGACCAGTCGCGCAGATTCCTCGACTTCTTTCAGGTTAAGGTATATTTCAAGAACTTTCCAAAAGTACCGCAAAAATGCTAAACCGGTTTAAACCGTTAAATTCAGTTGAGATGTTGTGGCGCCCAATCATTTAACGACTACGCGAGGTATGGGATGACAATCCCGACGTCCTGTTATTTGGCCGGAACTACATATGTTAACGAACAGGTCATACATGCCATACATATCATAGAAAATCCGTTGTATAGAATTAATTAGCTTTACAATGCTTTTTAGCATTAATTTGTTTTACAATGTAAACAGCAATTCAATGAATCTGCGGTTTTGTGTGTTTATATATGTATATTATTTTAGCAAATTTTATAAAAATTATTAATATTTATATTAATTAATTAATATTTATCCAAATTGTGTTTAATGTTTAGGGTTGTGGTCGAGCGCTGAGAAGATTCCTTGAGCTGAGATCCGGAATAATTGGTTTATTGTGTTTGTTTTCAGCTTTGATTCAATTAGTTTTGATCGCTCTCTCCATAACACTATTTTGTTCAAAACAATCAATCGATTCAATCACATAGCAATCAAATTCACGAATTGTTAACCAAAATATCTTAAGACATGACCTCAACAGACAATAATGTATTATATATTTATGTAATAATCCTAATAGACATCAACTATTGTATAAGTTTTAGTGCGGATAACATTTCTGTATAAAAATATCACTAATAATTTTAGTCTAGAATTTACTTTTATATAAAATGCTCATTCATTTTGATTTTACAAAAAAATGCATTTTTAAAACTAACATTAACAGTAATGTGAACAAACTTTTTATAATAAATACTTAAAAATGTCGAAATTTTTGTTTTGTCTAATAAAATAATATAAATGTATAGATAATGTAGAAAATTATAAAGTCTTATGTAGTGTTTGGATCATTCAATTAGAGAAGAGAAGTTAACTTTGATTGTAACCAAAACTACAAAT